ATGAAAGGCATACTGATCCAACCAGGGACTTGAAATGTCTAGTGACAAATGTTTTTCAGGGAAAACAATTATACCTTACTGGATGATGATTGACGTCCTTTGTCCGAAATACTTGTATCTCGTTAATTGTTTTAACTTTAAAGTACACTTTCTTTTTTCTTGGTTCTTGATGGATATTTTTCCTGTGAGCAGGGAAACGTGATCATTGATGAAAGAGCTCAAGGTTTAAACCCAGGAGTTCTGGTTCTACTCGTGGTTGTTGGACTTCTGCTGCTCTTCTTTGTAGGAAACTATGCTCTATATGTTTATGCTCAAAAGACCCTCCCATTGAAGAAAAAGAAACCGATTTCAAAGAAGAAGATGAAGAAGGAGAGGCTAAAGAAAGGGGTCTCTGCCCCTGGAGAGTAAAGTTAAGATCTTGTTTTTTCTCTCGATATTTAAAGTTTCTCATGGTTGAGGATAATATTTTTGTTTACTGCGTTGTAGTGTTGGAGTTTTATGTGCTTACCATATTGTTTTCTTTGCTTCTAAAATACTTGTATATGCAGTAGTTTGAACATTTTGTTCGTTGGGTTACTTGTGGGTTACACGTTCAAAATGTGGTCATTAGACAATGATAAAGACAAGGCTAAATTGTTCAACTTCTTGATGTTGCCTTCTTTGTGATATTTACTATTCTTTGATGTTTTGTTTCAATTTATTGAAAGAGGTAGGTAGCTTTGAAAAAAAGATTGTGTATTTGTATTGATTTGAGCATGAAGAAATTGCCAGGAACTTGAAAACTGCAGAAAGGAAACACAACAACAATAAAGTTTTAATCTCAAATTTTTTAGGTCGGCTACATGAATCATACTATTTCATTTGAGATTTCAGTCCAGTGTTATATCACATTAACCCGCATGATGTCCTTAAACGCTTTTCTCCAAGTTTTCTTAGCTCTACTTCTGGTACATGTTGTAGTCTTCGTTGCACTTGACCAACCGAACTTATCTCTATTGACTCTCGCTTTATCTTCAATTGGAGTAACATCTGACCTCTCACTAATGCACTCAATTCCTATATATGTATGCTACATTTAATAGAAATGAAGAAGATGTTATTGCCAAAGGGTAAGACACATTCAAATGGCTCCCTGAAAATTTTTGTAGGTACTGTCAATCAGTTGATCTATGGTAGCTTCCACTAATAGTCCATAGAGGATAGAGGACAAAGAACACTGAAACCAATCTTATGTGTCATACATGAGCTTCAATAATTGAGTGTTCTCTCTTGATGAATCCACTAGATTCTTTTATGTCAAATAGAGTAGGCTAACATAACAAATGTGTTTGCACTCAACCCAAAAACTAACCAAATATTTCAGTCCAAGATGTTGTTTAATATGGAGTGAAGAATTCACATGGACTAAATTACCAGATTGGTATTAAAAATAGCACCTAATGATCAGATTGGTATTAAAATTATCTACGGCACAAAGGCATTTAAAACTTACACGATGAGACAAATAGGCCCAAAAATGTATTTTTAGCTAACTTTTCTAGCAACAACTCATATAATTTGTCACATGATGCTTATGTGGTATATTTATGATAACATAACAGCTGTAGTTAGCCTAATTCAAACCATTAGATGGGTATATTTTTAAGTTAGTGTAAAAACAAGGAGGATTTTTTTAATTTGGGAGCTTCTTCTCCTTCTTCTATCAAATTAGGGTTCTCCATTGCTTGAGAACATGGATTCCTTCAGCTCAAGAAATGAAGAACCACCAATTTGAAGAAAGGAGGAGGAGTAGTCCCAAATTTTAAAAAATCCATCTTTTTTTTAACCCTAATTTAAAATTTACTCCTAATGGATTGATACTAACTACAGTTGTCACGTCATCATAAACATGTCATCTAAGCACTTGTGACAGACTGAATGGTCGCCGGAAAATTTATTTTTGAGCCTATTTATCTCATCGTGCAAGTTTAAATACTTTGGTGTCGCCGGAGATAATTTTAATACCTTGTTGGTCATGGGGTACTTCTTTTAATGTCAATCTGGTAATTTAGCCAATTCACATGTTATAAAATATACACCAGAAATTCCAGAGCTTAATATCCGAAAAAACATTGTTTGCATTGGCTTCAATGTGTCATTTGGCCTGCCTTAGAAGCAACTTTCCCATCATATCTGCACTTGACTTGTATTAAACTTTAGCTTCACAAAAATTCAGTTCTCCACAATACTTGTGACTTTTGACAAAATCCAGGACACCTTGAAAATGCAAAAGCTAAATTCATGAATCTGATGAATGCTTTAATCTCTTACTAGAACAAAGCTAGTCAAACCTGTCATTATAGAATCTGGACCCAAACTTTTCTTCTCATTTTGCTCTCTTGAAGGGCGTTTTATCAAATCAAATAGAGAGGAAGGCTAACTTCTGAAAATGGCCAGCTAAGTCTATGAAAAAATTAAAAAGTTTGATGAGATATCGATGAGACCTGAAAATGATTGGTAAAGCATTGATTTGAAGCTTACAGTCAGCAAGTTTTATCACAATGTGCAGTTCAATTTGCAAGATTCATCCTCTACTTCACATGGAATTCCAAGCTATTGGCACTTTTCACTTAAGTTATGGGAATGTACCGAAAACATAAATACCCTATTAAATTTTGTATTAAGAACAAAAAGTTTTAACTAAGAAAACCAAAGCACCATAAGTACAATTTGCATACGAACAACTTGACTGAAGTACAGAAAAAATGTAGAGATAAGATAGAAAAGGAAGATGACAACAAAAATCTGAATGATTTAACCTTTATTCTTCATCCACTGGATAAGGTTCAGAGATTCACTAATTGAAGGGTAATATGAGAGTCATATTTAGTTGATAGAGGTACAATTATATAAAAATTTTCATGTGTCATAATTCTTAAGTAAAACAGGTTTACGTTGGTATTTTATGATTTCACAAGCTCAGGATAGTTTGTATTGTATGAAATGTACCCTAACGAGAATAAAGCTAAAATCAATTGTGACAAGTCATTTAACAGTAATTTTCAGAAATTAGTAGTTCAACGGAACAAGAACCTAGAAACTAAAGATAATAGCTGCTGACGTAAGCACGCTGATCTCTGCATATTAAAGTCAATGATCCAGACTGGCCTAAAGTATTATTAGTCACAGGATCATAGCAACAAGTTGCAGAAATATAATTACAATGTTCCCTCAGATCAGCATTCACTAAGCTGGAGCCTATCAGCTTAAATACTTGCCCAACTTGTACCATTTTCATACAGCCACAATTTTCAGTCTGAATTTATACCAAAAGAAGTTATAGAAGAAGCAGACTCAGGTTTCCTACGCAGGAGAGATGATGCCATTGCTCATTGGAGAAGCAAAGGAAAAGGGAAAAAAAAGCATCCTTTGTTTAGAAAAGACGGTGGCATCATCTCTCTGCGAAGGTAACATGAAAGCATTTGCTCTTTTGAGTTGCTAAGCAGTTTCAGGTCAGTGAATCTACTCTACCAAGACCTTCTAATTTCTGAGTTCCAAAGTTTTCCGATGTGACTGTTTTCTCAAGTATCGTATATTTGCTTCGTGAATTCAAAGCAGAGAAATTCAAAATGCGAACATTGGTGGTAGTTGAGTCTCTTGAGATTTATGCAATAGGAGATAACAAACTGAAGTTTGAGTCTACCTTTATCTTCTTCTTGTTTGAGTCATCTTAAGCAAGTGATGATTTAACTAACTGCATTAGATGTTTATAGAGAGAGCGATCGATATGGTCATTGAGATTATAATGGATAACCATTTGTACCTCACTAAATGATTTGTGAAAAGGTTCTGATTTGATCATCTTATAGTCCCTCTAACCGTTAGGCCAAATCTCAAAGTTGTGATGAGAGGCTAGGGTTATATTTTTATATTCTAACATGTTCCTATCATCTTAAGTCCCTCTAATCATTACACCAAAACTTCGAAGTCGTGATGAGAGTTGAGGGCCATATTTATACATTTTAACAGATTACAACTTTTGAGAAAGAAATGTAGCCAAATTCTTAGCACTTAGTAATTAACTTATTTCTAGCAAAAATAAAAACTTGGTTTTGCTAATGTTCAATATGTCTGATTTCTTTTTAGGGAAAATATTTCTTGACCTGAAGAGCATGCAATAAGGTTTTTAATTTAGCAGCAGCGGAGCTCTACTGTCAAGAATGCTGAGGTTACAAAGAGGAAGAGTGTGTTGAATAGGAGTGTGGGTGGAGCCTGTGTTGTTGTGCTGTTTCAACTTCTATCCAAAGTATTACAATATAAATATGTGGTTGAATATGGATGAATATTGTCTTGTTTCCACTTATTATTGTCCATGATATTAGGTTTTTTCCCCCTTTTTGTTTGAGGGATCAGTTTTGATGAGAATTATCATATTCATTATACTTGTATCCCCCCATTCTGGAGTTTGTTTCATTAATTTCTTTTTAATGGATCGTTGGAGAGCGATGCTTCACAGTTATTTCTCAAAAAAATACTGTTGTAACGTCAAAAGGTTGTTATAAAAGGAAAATAGGCTAAAAATAGGGGAATACTTGCTGACTTCATATTGACAAATGATCCAGTAATGAGAGCTGAAACTACATTATATCATAGATGTATTTGCTGTGCCGATTCCGCTTAACCAATCAAACTTTTGATGAGTGTGACACCCCTACACGTTAGTCTCACATAGACTAGTGTAAAGAAATATTAGTGGATTAAATAGAGAAAAGCCCAAGGCCCAAGAGTAATTAGTGCTACCATTTTGTCAGTGGATTTTAGTCAATATCGAGTTGCTCTTGGTGGATTCCTCTCGGGCGTGTCAATGAGAGACCACTTTGCTCCGTCGCAATCTTTCAAATATGGGAAATATTCTTGTCTAGTGTGCAGATAACATGTCCTCTTTCTAGTCGTCTATTATCAAAATTTCAATGACACGGACGAGTTCAATTGATTGGGCCTTAGTGTACCTAAAAAAGCTTCAGTGAGCCTGATGGGTCCTACGGATTCTCTGTACTCTCAGCAAACAATGCATCTGGCTTTCTTGCACCTTTAACTTTTAGGGTGACACTACAGGCACACCATGTGCACACTCTCTTCTCTCTGTTACAGTAACCAGGGCCCACATGAGATTTATAAATAAATCTCATGTGGGCCCTGGTTACTGTAGCAGAGAGAGGAGGTTGATGAAAGTTTCACTTTGAAGGATGGAAACATGCCCATTTCAATTCCTCAACAAAATCATTCACCAGACAGCACCGCCCGCAAATGAACTTTAATGCCAGCAACTCTTGAAAGAGTTTTGATAGTTACTAAGTTTGCTATGTTTATTATGCAGAATCAGCAGCAGAATATTGAGGGGCTGTTTGGATGCTTTTAGGAAACTAGAGTATTTATGACACAAAATAGAAAGTGGTTATCCACCTCATCACTTTTCATTTGAGTGTTTACATTGTTTGGTTAGGAATCTTTGTGAATCCTAAAATAATAGTATTACATTGTTTGGATAGTATAATGTAAACTAGAGTATTTATGACACAAAATGGAAAGTGATTATCCACCTCACCACTTTCTACAAGGTTTTAAATTTTTTATTATTTTTTTGGACATATTTATGACATTGTGTAAGCTTTCCAACAAAATCACTCCTAATTTTGGTGATTTTGCTTTCGGTGACAGCTCATCAAAAGGTGTAAGCTTTTCATGTAAAAGGGAATTTAAACAAACAATGTAAAGTAATGAAAGCTGACATTGGGACCCACTTTTTTACACTTTCCATCATTTTACGTGGTAAAAACATACAACCAAACGGCCCCTGATCCGTAATAAGCAACTTTTACTGACATATGAAGGATGAGATCAGCCCAGTGACGAATAATAGAGCCAGATATTGGCTGATGTACACTTCATCCCCCTATATACATATATCTGAGCACTGGAAGAATGAAGAAAACTACCCCAC